GCGCCGCAGCGGCAGCCGCACCAGGGGCAGATGTCCGCGCAGCACCGCCAGGTGGAGCGGGGTCCGGCCTGCACAGTCCCTGCCGGCGGGGCACCGCTGAGCCCTGGCCAGAGCCTGCCGCCAGGGACCAGCCGGCGCCATCCTCCCCCAGGGCGGGCATTGCCACCCCAGGGCCCAGGCCCTGCCCAAATCAAAGAAGGGGCCCTGGCAGGCCAGAGGAAAGGGACCCCAGCCCTGCCCCCCAGGGCCCAGCCAACGGCCCCTCCTCCCTGGGCGGCGGGCCTCCGCCTCACCTCTCCTCCACGCTGGCTCCCTGGCGCAGCAGCTGGGTCACCAGGCCCAGGCCACCGGTCTGCACTGCCCGCAGCAGGCACCCCCCGGCCCGGGGGGTGCTGGGCCCCTCTGAGCCAGCTCCCTGGGCCCCCTCTGAGCCCAGCTCCACCCAGCGCAGCTCCAGCTCTTCCCCTGGGTCTGGTGGGTCCTGTGTGCCGGGCTCTGGACTCCTGGCGTCCATCTGAGAAGAACAGAGTCCTGTGTGGGCCCAGGGGCCCCAGGCCAGTCCCAGCCCGCCCCCACTCAGCTCCACGCCAGGCTCGACCCCGACTCTGTCCTCTGGCAGGGCCCTCGGTCCGAGTGGGAGTGGGGCGAGCACCCGGGTGTCCTGGCGAGGGCCAGGGGCCGGACTGTGGCTGGGGGCCAGGAGGCCGGGCAGCTCCTGCGGCCTCCACGGCCTGGGTGGGCGGTGGCCGGGCCACTGTTTACCCAGCAACCTAGGTGGAGCCTCAGCAGCGCAGGCCACACCTGGACACCTGCAGGCCACACCTGGACACCGGGCGAGGTGGAGGCGGCCGGCAGCCCATGGGGCCTCCGCGGCCCCTCCCAGCCGCCAGCTGAGACTTAACGGGCAGCCAGGGACACTAAGCCTGTCCAAGGGTGGTGCCCACCTGGTGTGCCGGTCACTGTGTCGGGTCTTCACCTGCACACTCAGCTCAGCCAACAGCAGTAACGGGGTTCACTGACCAAGCCGGGAAAACAAAGCGTCACTGAGGCCTCAAGCGGCTGTTCCCTCCCCCAAAGCCGAGTCCCGCGTTTAGGATCCTCAACGAAACTCTCCCAAGATGGCATCTCCCCGCCCCGTGGGGCCGCAGGAGCCGCCCCGGTGCGGCACCCAACTAGCCCTGGGCACTGCCTGGGCCAGCGACCCCCGCCCCGCCAGCCACGGCCACCCCCCGTGGTGACAGCAGCACACTGGGGACCATGTGGGCACAGCAGTGCCCAGGCTCCTAGGGCTGAGGGGCCCGAGGACCCTGCCGGCCGTGCCACCTCCCGAGCGCCCTCTGGGTGCTGCCGCATCCAGCGCCAGGGAGGGGCGGAGGCACACGTCCCAGAGGGGCCCCTTCTGGAGCAGCGGGGCCCCCGCCCTGGCCTCCCTCGGACTGGCCACTGCCCGAGGCACCTGCGTGCTCTCTCCGATGAGTGGTCTCTGCCCCAGGCGCTCGCAGGCCCCTCCGGTCAGCGCCTCCGGTCAGCTGCGGCCCCCGACACGAGCCGCAGCAGCTGTGCCCACTCCCTGAGCCCTGCCCCACAGTGACAGGCTCCATCAGAGTCAGGGAGCTGCCCACCCACTGCCGCCGGACCCCAGGGCAGTGCCAGGGGCAGGGGACACCGGCCGGGGCAAGGACCCTTTGGCCCCAGTGCAAGATCTGGGCCAGCCCGAGACCCGGCGTGGGAGCGGCAAGGGTCCCCCGTGTCTGAAGAGAGTCGCTGGGCTCAAGGGGGGACGCCGACCGCGGGCGTGGCGCAGGCACCGAGGACCTGCCTGCGGTGACCAGGTCTGGGGTTGAGGTGCTGAGCGTCAAGGGGCACCCGCAGAGGTGCTGGAGCACGTGGTGACATCTGGGGACAGGCTGAGCCTTTGGGGTGGGTGCCCCACGGCTTCAGGACTCCTTACTTTGCGGCACAAGAGACACCAGTGACAGCGGCTGCCCCGTGGGCCCCGCAGCGTGGGTCTGTGCAGCTCCGTCTCACTGCACAGCGGCCAGGACCGGCTGGGGCCGGGGCCGCCTGGGGCTGGCAGCTGTCAGTCTCGGCCTGTGAGATGAGGCCCCAGAAGGGCGGGGCC